ACCTGAAGGCAGGAACTGAAGCAGAGGACATGAAGGAACACTGCTTACTGGCTTGTTCCCCATGGCTTCCTCAGCCTGCTTTCTTATACTACACAGGACTACCTGCCCAAGGGTGTCACCTGCGCCCCCCACCCCAGCAGTAATCACTAACCAATGTTCTTTTCTACAGGCAATCTGTTGGAAACATTTTTCTCAACTGAGGTTCTTCCTCCCAAATAACTCTAACTTCTGTCAAGCTGACTTTCCTCAATTCGAAATTTGTTTATCTAACTGCCTCCTGGCCATTTCTACTTGGATGTCTAGTTAAGTATCTCAAACATAACACGTTCAGTACTGAGACTGTGGGCTTCTCCCTCAAGCCTGCCTACCTGCAGATCCACTACTCAAATCATAGCTTCTCTATGCTTCTAATTATTCAGGACAACAAAACAGGCTGTTCCCTTTTTTGTTTCCTCTCACTTGCCACACATAATCCACTGGAAAACCTCTCCCTTTCAAAATATAAACAGGCAAATGGAAGAGTGAGAAGGAAGGATGAGGGACAGCAGGAACCAAAATTATAAGCTAGATATATATATGATGGGCACACCAGGCACAGATGTCCCTGGGACCAAAGGTTCCCATTTCCATTTGGAAATAATAATGTGATGGTTAACTCTGATTGTCAACTGGAGATGATGTAAAACCGCCTGGGAAAGGGATCACAATGAAGGACTGTCTAGAACAGGTTGGCAACTAATGTGGGCATGTCCATGTGGATTGTCCTGATTATGTTAACTGAAGTGAGAAGATATGCCCACCGTGGGTGGTGCCATTCCGTGAGTAGGGTGTCCTGGACTATACAGAGTGGAGACAGTGCTAAGCACTAGCATACATACACTAACCCACCGTTCTCTGCTCTTGACTGCAGATGTGAGGCTAGCATACATACATTGATCCACCGTTCTCTGCTCTTCACTGTAGATGTGACCGGCTGCTTCAAGCTTCTGTCACCTTGACCTTCCAGCAGTGATGGACTAACCAGGAAATGTGAGCCCAATCAGCTCTTTCTCCCTTATGCTGCTTTTATTAGGGTGTTTTATCATGGCGCAGGAAAGGAAATTAAGAGGGTGAATACCAGGTAGGAGGACTTAACTGGGCAAGTTCCTCAGTCATGGAAATTCCCCCACATTCTCTCCCTTTCTTACCTTCCCCCTGAAGAGGACTAGGGCAAGGAGAGATTTGTGAGTCATAGCTTTTAAGAGAGTATGGTCCTTGAACCTTGAAGAGAATGACTAAAATTCTCTATCCACTTGGACCATTGAGATTACAAATCAGCATTATGCATTCCTTGTCACGTAATACAGAGGTTTCCTAGAAGAACCTTATTCTGGGTTTCCTAGACGTCCTCTCTTACCCATGCCATCATTCTTCGACCATCTCAGTCTCTGGATGTGTAGTTTTCCACATGAGATCTTATTGTATGTTGAACTTTGTTCTTGGAAAATTCTTTTATCTCCTTAGGTCTGCAGTACATGAAAATACAAGAATCTGACTCCAACCCCAAGAGGTCAAAAGACGATAAACATCTACCAGTCACGTACATAAAATAGTTATCTTTATATTTACTCTCTACAACTACATCCAAAGCCTGATGAGCCATCAAGATGGCTGAGTGGGTAAAAGCAGCTGCCACTAAGCCTGAGTTCAATCCCCAATATCCACAGGGTAGGAGAAAATGGCCTCCTCAATGCTGTCTTCTGTCCTCCACTCACATGCTTACACCCACACAAATAAGAAACCTTTAAAAAAAAAAGTTAAAAAAGTTAACATTCCAACTCTTGCACTGTGGTTCTCAACAAGTTATTCCCTATTATTCTCAAAGTTAATTGTGTGAAATAGGTGTCTGACAATAAACTGAAAATTCCATCACTTACCAATCAGGAGATATGAAGGGCCTATCTCAAGACTCCTACACAGGCAGCAAAGGGACTAAGGATCAAACTTCAGCATCTGAAGATTGTTTTAAATCCTAATGTGCCTTTAGGGAATTGAATGAAAGATGAATGTGACTCTACTAGGACAATGAGGGGTCCTTATAGTGATGGGACTGTTCTATTGCTGGACTATATCATGGTTATAATACTGTAACTTTATAAAATAGAGGTCATTAGGGAAAATTGAGTAAAGAGCATACAAGATAATCCTGTGTCCTATTTTTTTTTATGAGACAGCATCTCACTATTGACATGCCCACCTTCTCTATATTATTTCTTATATATGTGAAGCTACAGTTACTTCAAAAAAGTTTAATTATAATCATTTAGGAAAGATGATTTCAAATTTCTATGAATTTCAAAGCTATCCTATGCTACGATGTATCTTCTCTCATTTTCTGCTGGGTGAAATAACACAGATGTCAAATTACTTTAAATGTAGCAACCAATACCAGAAGGTGGCACTATTGTCACATGAACATACAATGGTAAATCACTTTTTAATGTTGGAACAATGGACTACCGAGATTTCATCAAATAGCATTGTAAACACTAACCAGTTCAGCAATATTTTTCAACATAAGCCATTTGAAAATATTTACTTCTACTACTTTTTTTGTGTGTGGGAATGCACATGTACACATACCTGAGTGCAGGCACACACACGAGCACTTGCAGAAGCCAGAGTGCTTCCTATGTCCTGCTCTACAATACTCTGTTGGGTAAGGGTCTCTGCTTAAAGCTGGCAGCCAACAGGCTGAACCTCATATACATGCCCTCTACCAGCACTGGGGTTACAGGTACAAAACGATGACCACAACCAGCTTTTAATGTGTGTGCAACTGGTCTTCATGCTGTGTATCAAGTGCTCTTACCCACTGAACCAACTCTCCAGCCCCAAAACACATCTTGATGTTTGGGGAAAATACATTTCCCAAAATGCATATTTATTCTTTGAAAATTTCACATATGTATACAATGAATTTTTATTTTCTGAAGAAGTCTGAGGGCTTACCTGCCCTGCCTGAAAGCAAAGGGGACCAAGGAATTTTAGGGAAAATACAATCTTTACAAATCATTTGAAAATGGAGAAAACTGAATTTTAATCTCTGTAATGTGAAAATTAGCAAATCAGAAGCATGCTTCTAATCAATCATGCCTTGTATGGATTTTTAAACCCTTCCAAACACCAAGGTTTCATATGAGATCCAGAATTAAGCTTTAGGACTTTGGGTTTTTGTTCTGTTTTTTTTTTTTTTTTTTTTTTTTTTGTTTTTGTTTTTGTTTTTGAGACAGGGTCTCACTATGTAGACCAGGCTGGCCTCAAACTCAAAGAAATCTGTTTACTTCTGCCTCTCAAATGCTGGGATAAATGTATGTATCTCCTTGTGCAGTCCTATATCTTTAAATTTAATTGATGCTTGCTTACAGTTTCAGAGGATCAGTCCATTATCATTCTGGGGAGTGTGGCAGTAAGCAGGCAGGCATGGTGCTGGAGAAGTAGTTGAGAACTTATATCCTGATCCAAAGGCAGCAGGCAGAAAGAAAGGGAAACTGGGAATACTGTGGGCTTTTGAGACCAGTTACAGAACTCCTCCAACAAGGCCATACATACCTGGTAACCTTTTCCAACAGTTCATCATACACACAAATATATGAGCTTATGGGAGTCATTCTCATTTAAACCAGCACAGAGAGGATCAGATTCCCTGGAGTTGGAGTTACAGATAGGTACTGGGAACTGAACTCAGGTTCAGCAAGAACAGTACATACTTTTGTTTCTGTTTTCGAAACAGGGTTTCTCTGTATAACAGCCCTGGCTGTCCTGGAATTCACAGAGCTCTGCCTACCTCTGCCTCCTGAGTGCTGGGATTAAAGGTATATGCTAACATGCCTGGGTGCAGTGCATGCTTTTAACAGCTAAGCCACTCTCCAGTCCCAAAGCGATATATAATAAGGACAGCCTTTTGTATTTCAAATTATAACTGTAAAGTTCAATATATTTTATATTATATATTATAAGTTCAATATATTATCTTATATTGTTGGCCTGTCTTTCACTTAGATGATAAGTATTTGGGCTTCCTCTGGGAAGCAGGCACTGAATTAGACCAGACATATAGTTCACCACAGCTGGTAAACTGAGTTCACTATCAAAAGTAAAAAAAAAAAAAATGCAAAAAGTAGGGGAGAAGGTTTTTGTTTGTTTGGGTTTGACTGCATCTGAGTACTCACCCCACATGGCACACACACATACGTGTGTGTGTGTGTGTGTGTGTGTGTGTCTGTCAGTCTGTCTGTCTGTCTGTCTGGGGATCCTATGCCTCCTGCAATTAGTCTTGCCTCAGCTCAGCCTGGCCAATAACCAAGAGCTATATGCAGCCCAAATAATTCAAACATGCTTCATAGGTAATTTTCAATTTCATTTTGCTTTTGAGAACATGCTTTTCATTTGTTTCTTTTAAGTAAAATAAGCAAGATTTTGAAATAGACATTTTCTTCATACATTTCTTAAGAACTGAATTCATGGATCTGCTGGGCCTGGTGGTTCACACTTTTATAGCCCAGCACTTGGGAGACAGAGGCAGGAGGATCTCTGTGAGTTCAATGCCAGCCTGGTCTACATAGTGAGTTTCAGGCCAACTGAGACCATATAGTGAGACCCTGCCTCAAAATATATAAAATAAAAAAAGCAAAAAACCAAACCCCAAGAATTCAAGGATCTGAACTTTCTTTCCTCCTGCTTCATCCTCCCCTCCCCTCCCTCCTTGGTTTTTTGAGACAGGGTTTCTCTATTGTAGCCCTGGCTGTCCTGGAACTTGCTCTGTATACCAGGCTGGCCTCAAACTCAGGGATCTGCCTGCCACTGCCTCCCAGAGTGCTGGGATTAAAAACGTGCTACCACCACCTGGTGTGAAATTTATTTGTTCAAAGATAAGCAAATAAACTAACCAAAAATGTTCCTTACCAGTTCTACCGATTTGTTTACATGAGAGCTAAACCAAACAAAATGAGAATTAAGTAAAAATGAATTCTGAGCAGTTTATTCTCAAGTCATTACAGTGTTAAACCAATTGGACATATAAAGATAGCGGATGTAACAGTAAACATCAGGAGACACATTCCTGTTCTAAAAGGAGATAACACACAGGAAAAAAAAATGCAGCAAATACTATGATATTCAAAGTAACTGTTGACACTTCAGATGTGACATATTTACAGGAATAGTATGTTTTAAAATAATTAAATAATTTTCATAAGCTTACAAAAGAATGAAGATAAATATTAGAAGACTCTGACGACCACAAGAACATATTCCTATGCTTTTGAATAAGGCTAATTCTATAAAAAGTCCCAAAATAGAGCTAATATTTTGCCACCATAAAATATATCAAATTGCCAATACCAAAATATGTTAAAATGAACGTGCACTGTGGAGACTGTACCAAAGAAAACAGGGCCAGGCTCATCAATACTGCCAAGTGTCTGTACACGGGTTCCTAGGTATGTTTATGAAAACTGAACTTCCAAAAGAGCCTGGATAATGAACATGGCAGCAGATGGGTGGTAACTGCTTAAAAACCTTGTTGTCCTGTGGTTTTCCATGCAGTTGCAAAAGAGAAAACTACATAAAACTCTAACATATTAGCTTATGAATACAAAAGGTGAGTGGTGTGTTCTTGTACTGGACAACCAAACAACACATCTTAACCCTTAGGCCCCACAACGGTAGCGAATTTCTCATCCTCCATCAAGTAGTCTTAGAACATAAAAAGGCAAAACACTAATACCCATGACTCCAAAACAGAAGTGTGTAGGACTGGAAATACCATAGAGTAGCAGCCTGGGAAAAGCAAACACTTAAGACTTTGCCACAAAACAGTACTTGCTCAAACCAGTCTATCACTCAACAGGAGAACTATGGGTTCTTTAGAGAGGTACTTCTATTTAGGATATCCCCACAATTAAATGCATACTCAAATTTGTTTTCAAGACAGATATTGCACAGGTAGTAGAACACCAACATTCTGGTGTCTCTGACATAAAATGCTATTTTATTTAACATATCAAGCTATGCTACTGAAATTAATTTATTCAAACATTTAAAGCCAATCATGTAGGACTTTGGAGCACAACTCTAAATGAGATGAGAAGACACAGGCACTTGGATACAGGTTATTAATGATGAAAGGTAGAGGCCACAACAATTTCACAACTAAGAGCAATTATGACTTTACATATGAACTGAGGTCTTTCACTGACCCAAATTCAGAAGTAAACTCAGAAATAAGATCTATTTACCAAAAGAAAAAAAAATCAGCTAGGTATTGGTGGTGCATGACTTTAATCCCAGCACTCAGGAGGCAGAGGCAGGTGGATCTCTATGAATTTGGGGCCAGCCTGGTCTACAGAGTGAATTCCAGGATAGCAAGGCTACATAGAGAAACCATCTTGGGGAGGGGGGGGGGGAGGTCAGATCTTCCCAAAATTTATGATCAAATAATTTTTAATAAAATACTGATAGGTGCAAGTACTAAGAAATTTCAAACAAGTGTCACAAGGTTGGTAACACAGGTCTGTAATTTGGGAGGCAACAGAGGCAGGAGGATCACCACAAGTTCCAAGACAGCCATGCTACACAAACTGTCTCAAAAAAAGAAGTCCCACCAAAAAAAAAAAAATCTCAGCTACAGGTGAGCTCTAGTCCTCACCCCACACCTTCAATCCATGCCTGCGCCAACAGTCTAATCAAATCTTCTATGCACTCACCTGAAAAGTCAGGACATCAAAAATGGTTAGAATTTCTAAATAGTCCACATTGCGATATAAATTTTGCAGCACCACAGACATCATGAGTTTAGGAGTTTTTGTCTGGCGATGTTCCATTTGATAATGTTAACCAATAAGAATGTGTAAATATTGAATATTTCATAGGGAGTCATATTAGCTTTTTTAAATGACCAAAATAATAAGAAATTTTAATATTTTAAGTTATTTGAAATTTCAAAGTTACCAGGAAACACACACACACACACACACACACAGACACACACACACACACACACACACACACACACACACACCCACACACCTTTTACCACACAAACATATAAAGCTTCAGACAGACAGTCAATATGGACACGGCTTTTTCCTTCCTTTCTTAAAGAAATTACATTGACTTGGCCACTCCCTAGATTCTTGGTTTGCCAGCTTACAGAGTACACCCAAGAGACAATATATAATATATGCACTGAAACCATTCACCCTCTATCATCTTTTATCATCTTTGGCTGGAAGCCTCATGAAAGGACACTGAGGGATGAGTGGGGTGGGCAGCCCAGGTGCTCCCACCTTACACATCACTGACTGGCAGGCTGGCATCATCTAAGTCCACTGGCTCACCATCTTTTCCCTGAGGGCCATTTTTACTTTGAGGTCTGAGCAGAGCTTGTTCAGTCACTTTGGAAGCTGATTCTCTTGGAGAGACAGTCTGGACCTTGAAGTTCCCTGGCTTGACCTTGGCAAGAGATTCGTAAAATCCTCGCTTCTCCATGGTATAGTTTGAGACCAGAGAGTGGCTGCGAGAGGCTGCGGAATGTGAGGTGGCTGCTGCTGCCCCGGCAGGACGGACAGTGTATTTGGATTCTGAAGGACAGCCGGAATGCTCCTGGAAAGAGGAGTGGTGGTCAGACACTGCTAGTCACAGACAACAAAGTTAGTCAGTTACTCAATGTGAGACTTGATTCTCTGAAAAACAAACAACACACATACACACACACACAAAGCAGAAGCATGAGCCATGCAGCATAAATGTGCAAGTTCCTTCCCAAAGCAATGCATTTTAGGGGTGAGTTCAAAGCAATGATAGCCAACAAACAATTCCCCTAAGAAACTGATTCTGTCACCAAAGCTGAATTTGTCAGCTTATGTAAGGCACTTTGAAGGCCTAGCTAGCCTAAAATGAAATACGGTGTTCCAACTGCAATTGAATTGTTTTGAAAGAAGAGTCTATCAGCATTTATTTAAGACTAATGGGGAATTATCCCAAGTATTTTAAAGAAAATAAAAAGACAAAACATAAAAATGGAAGGCTATAGATTAATCAACAAGAATCAAGACTTTTCAGACATGATTTTGTCTACTAGTCTGACAATTTGTTTTTGCTTCTCTTAATTTCACTGCAACTAATTGCAAATGATTTAACTGTTTACTCTGGATAAGTCACACGTTCATATGGTTTAAGATTTTAAAAGTAAGAAAGGATACAAATGAATCACTTAAAACTCTGATGAAGTAGATTAGTTGTAAATACTAATTTTATTGTACTTCTAGTAACAAATCTGAAGACACTGTGGGGTGCCGTGCAGCTCCTGGCATGCGCTCATTTAGGACACTAGCTGTTTTGAAAACAGCACCACAGTCAGCAAACACTACAGGCTCCCATTACATGGTAAACTTCACCAGAGCTATAAAATGCCATGCAGTTCTGGTGACATAGTTTATCCAATGTGGATGCCTGCAGAAGTTTGCCTGGATCAGAACAAGGCACATTTTAAGTGTTGTATAATAAAAAAAAAAAATCAAAATACATAAAACATGAAAATCAAAACTCTTGCAGCAATTCAGTCAGTTTCTGAAGTTCTGGAAGCTTCCATTAGTATGGTTGCTTTTGGTTTTCTGTTTCTTTTTTTACTATACATATTCAACCTGATGACTATAGTAAAATAGTTTGCGTTAGTGATGACAACTGCAAAAGGCAGTCCAGTTAACTCAACCTTCTATGATCAGTTGTAAGTAGGGAGCGAGTCCAGGCCCTCTACTAAGAAGGCACATTTGCATGAGAGCCCACATACGTGCTGCATTCACCAGCTCTTGATGTATACCTCTGTATACAAGGGTTCGACAGCCTTCTGGCCTGCCGCATCTGGAACACAGTGCAAAGCTAAGATTAGAGTTAACCTATATTGGGAGAGGGAGGAAAAGAAAGAATTCTGCTGATAGTCACAGCTGGACAGTCCAATTTGCCCCCACCACAAAGCACAGAACACAAACACCCTTCTCCAACTTTCCCTCTTCCCAACAGACATTGTTTTTGCAGAGAATCTCATACTTGACTGTTGAAAGGGTCACATAAAATGAAGGCAGTTACAAAACTAATACCCAGGAAAGAGGTTTCTCCAATATTCCTAAAGGAATACTAGTATAATGAAAAATGATAAAGAAATGGGAAAAGTGGATTACTATCTACTAATGTGTCATTATCACTACCAGCAAACTACTAAAAGACAGCATTACTACCAGAAAAAATACTGAAAGTACAAGGTATCTAGGTATATACAGAATTTACATCATAAAGGCTATGGAAGGCACACTAGGACAGTTAACAACAGTGCTACTTTTAAGATGTAATCTCTCAAAAGGATTTGCATTATTAGAACAGGGACGAATGGTCAAAATGTTCCAAAAAAAACTATTTCTTAGGATTTACTTGAACAAAATGAACAACAAGTGTTTCTCTTGTTATGTCTGAGTTGTTCCAATGTTACTACCAAACTACAGCAGAAATAGCAAGCTTTTCTATCAACCTGCTAAAAACTTAAAATAATAACATGGAAGAGCAAAAAAAGAATGGGAACACAAAACTGTATTTAAGACTCTAGTTTGGTCAGCAGTGTTCCAACACTACTAAGGAAAAAAAAAAATCCTAACTGAAAATTAGCAAGTAAAGGGAAAACAAGACATCACAAAACTGTATTTTACTAGAACTGGAAGTGCCCTGAATGGTCAGGCCAGTGCCACATCAAGAGAGCCAAACTGTCACACCTAGACCTACTAACAAGAACCTAGCTGCAAGAACAAAGGAAGAAAGGCTCTATTCTTTAGCTGCCCAGCTTGTGCATCAACAGTGTGCACAGAAAGTTATGTACATGTGACACTACAAGGAAGCTCTGAATTAGGATGCATTATTTTTGCAAGTCCAATTGGTATGAAAATCAACATGCAAATAATCTCAACAAAGAAAGAAACCGAAGTATTAGAGTAGAGGAAGAAAGCAACTCCAAAGGACCCAATCTCCCTAAAAAGGAGAAAACCTACAGAAGATGCTGATCTGCCAGGTCCCCGCTGTGCTACAATGGCGCCAGAGACTGCTTTAATCCAACTATGCATCTCTTCAGGGCTATCAGCCTAAAGGAAATCAAAGGGATAGTTCAGTTAAATTTCTCTCAAAACTCACCTTCTATTTCCATATATTCCATACCTTGGTAATATAATATTACCTGCAAACACATTCAAAGGCAATACTTTCAAAAAAAAAAGTTTTCAATGCACTTTATTTATTTTTGTTTGTTTTTCAATACAGGATTTCTCTCTGTAACTGTGGCTGTACTGAACTCTCATTGTAGACCAGGCTGGCCTTGAACGCCAAGAGATCCACCTGCCATCTACCTACCTCTGCCTCCCAAGTGCTGGAATTTAAGGTGTGCTCCACTATGCCTAGCTTCAAAACATTTTTTTTTAAAAAGATTTATTTGTGTGGGGGGAGGCGGGGGGAGGGGGGGTTCAGTAAACTCATGAATCATGGTCCAGCCATCCCCAGCTACAGAATCAAAAGAGGGAATTGGACACCACTGGAACTGTAGTTACAGGCAGTTGTGAGCCACCCAGCATGGATTCTGGGAAGAAAGCTTGGGTCCTCTGCAAGAGCAGCAAGTGCTCTTAATCTCTGAGCTGTCTTTCCAACCTCAGGAAGCACTTTTTGTGTGAGCTTGTTATTTATTGCGAAGTGAATCAAGGCACTCAAACGTTTGAGAAAAACACTTGGCCACTGAGTCTTTGTTTTAAATTTTGTGTTTTAGTTTTGACACAGAGTTACACTAAATTGCTCAGGCTGGCCTTCACTTCACTTTTTATCAGGGTTGCCCTTGAACTTCCTGCTTCAGTCTTTTGAATAGTTGTGGTTACAGGCATATACCCAAACCCAGCTCTAGAAACACTACTTTCAACCCAGGTATTTCTGAACAAGATACTATATGGAAACATACAACAGTCACTACATGTTTTAAAACCAGACAGATAAAATTGCTGATGATAAATATTTTTGGAAAGGAAATAAGAGGAAGAAACCAAAGAAAGTTCTTATTTTGCTGTCAACTGCTACAGTCTGAACTTGCCACATGTATAACTGCCACTTTAAAAACCATTCCGGGGCTGGAGAAATGGCTTAGTGGTTAAGGGCACTGACTACTCTTCCAGAGGTCCTGAGTTCAATTCCCAGCACCCACATGGTGGTCCATAACCATCTATGAGAACTGGCACCCTCTTCTGACATGCAGGCAGAACCGTGTCTACATAATAAATCTCAAAAATTAAATTAAATAAATAAATAAAAACCATTCTGACGCCCTTTTACATATTAATTTTAGGAATAATTTCTAATAGGACACTGAACTAAAGAGACACTAGTAGTCAAACTCAAAAGTAGCCCTCTTCCTTTTTTTTTTTTTTTTTTTTTTTTTCCTTCCTTCTTTTTGTTTTTCCCAAGATGGTTTCTCTGTGTTAATAGCTCTGGCTGTCCTGGAATTTGCTCTGAAGACCAGGCTGGCTACAGAGATCCATCCACCTTAGTCTCTCAAGTGCCAGGATTAAAGGCGAGTGGCACCAATGCCCAGTTGCAGTCCTATTTCTTGATAAAGACTGCCAGTGTGAATTTAAATATTATAAGATCAGAATGTTCAAAGTGGTATGACCACAGATCAAGACTGAGAAGGTACCAACACATATCTTCTGTTATTTTAGAACACCTCCATCCTTGAGAAGTGATCTAAAATTAGAATCTAGAATCTACAATTTCTGAAAAAGGTAAAATAGAATGTTTTTGAGCCAACAATATTTTTCCTTTAAATGATGATTCGTCACTTTATTGTGGCAAAGCAATTGTCCCTATTTGTTTCAATTTTTAAGGCCATATTTTTTTCTATGCACTTTGTATACTGCATGTTGAATTTTGTGCTTTTTAGCAACTCTTTGTCTGATTTTGAACATATTCACTCCCTCTTCTAACTACTTCCTTTCTACTTTCCCATTCCTTTCCACTCAACTTCAAGATCTTTCCTCTACACCCTCTTCTCCAACAAGTCCATAGCTAAGTCCATGTGTTACATGGCTAATCTTGAGAGTAGGCCCTGCTCTGGTATGTGGTCAGCCTCCCAAGGTCACATCAGTAAAGAAAACCACCCACTCTTCCAGAGTCTATCAAATGCCAATCAATTCAATTTTTTAAAAGGTAGAACTTTTGAAGCAGGCACAGGACAGAGTCCGCTTTCATAGGAGCACAATGACCAAAGTCAATATGACAAAACAGAATGACTGTTCTGATGGTTAAATCTGACCTAGAAACATCCTAAAGAAATCAAAAATTCAGGCCAAGCTTTAAAACAGATGCTCCCATCATCATACTTTCACAGTAAATGTATGAAAGTTATGCAAATGAATGTTTAATCACAAAAGAACAGAACTTGTGGAGCAGCCATATGTGGAGTGAGTGTGGTGCATACAATTCTAATATGCTTACAGAGGTAGCTTACTTCCCCCCTTCTTTCTTTCTTTCTTTCTTTCTTTCTTTCTTTCTTTCTTTCTTTCTTTCTTTCTTTCTTTCTCTTTCTTTGAGGCAGTATCTCACTACACAGCCCTGGCTGGCCATGGATTCATCTGCCCTATCTCCTGAATGTCTTTAATCTCAAATAAAGGCATAAGCCACCAGACCCAACTATTTCCAAAGAACTTTTAGTGGCACAGGAAAAAAGACAATACATAAAAACAAACAAGATTTTATACATTTAGTATGACCTTGCTTGCTGCAAGAATCAGTGTGTGGATGTGAGAGCATATACATTTTATAAACTATCATTTACTTAACTTTTCTACAATAAGCAAATGTGTTAACTCTCACAAACAAAATAAATGCTCTTTCCAATAATTTCATTTCTATACTTGAGACTTTCCTTTTTATAAAGTTAATAAAAAATAGTATAAAAAACACACATACACACAGAGAAAGATAGATAATACATTTGATGGCACACTGCTAAAATAAGTAAAATAGCACTTCCTTTCTTCCAAATGTGACTTTGAATCATCTCACTAAATCATAACAGAATACTCCCATTTCTGAGCACAACCCACTATCTGACATCTTTCAATAAGCTGGTAGACTAGACTTGTCAAAACCAACAAGCTTTATTTATATTTATTTCACCTTTAAATGTTATTACTTCCTTGTAAAAGAATCTACAATCTCCAAGTGTCTTACCTGCACATAAAAAGTTCGAGACGTTGTTACAATTTCAAACAGGTTGTCCCTCATCATTATGTCACTGTTATGAAAAACAATCATCCAGTTGTATGTAAATCAATTTGATAGTTTCCTCTTTCAGCTTTTTACTCAGCACCAAATATGTGTCAATAAATAAATGTTAGAGAAAAAAAATAGTAATTTAACAAAACCACATTATGTTTTTTCCCCAGATTTGCATCCCAGTTTACAAGCTTTACACAGCTCATATAGAAAAGATTCATGAAGCAACTTTAGAGTTCAAGTGTTTACAGTTCATTCGACTCAGCATGGCACAGCTGGTACAGCTCCTTGTGACAACCCATTCTGCAGCACCTTGAAATATTAAAACACCTCCATCTGTTAAATCTCAGAAATTCCTCATATTAATTTTTCCTTTGCATTAATGAGCTACTTCTAAAATATCACTGACAAATGAATTGTTTCATAATTTTTAATCTTCAAATAAAATATTGTAGTATCTTACAAATTAAATAAATTAAATAAAACTGCAGCATATCTCAACCACAGTTAAAAATCCACACAAGAAGGGAGAAGCACATGCTGTAAATTCATGAATCAGGAGAGGTGCTGTTCTTCAAACCATGCTGTGCCAGCACCAGGCAGTTCCTTACCTTTGCTTACACTCTTGAACTTTATGAACTTCTTTAAGTGGTATTACCCGCAGAGGTTCCTTTTCCTGGCAAAAAAGCAAACAGACAAAGGACATTTCATCTCAAGGGCTAACTATCTTATGTGGAGCTCAAGTCAATCTCAGTCACAACTCCGCCTTCTGAACCTTGCAGCAGCAGCAGACAGCTTGTTCTTATGTCCTAACATACACCACTGTCAGTTTCTGGTCTCAATGACAGTCACTAAGTACAGACTTGGTCGTAGTGGACCATTAGGACTAGCAGGTGCTCTCCTTCCTCTTGGAATATCATCTTGACATAGAAGACAACATGAAGTCTAAATACACTTCAGGAATGTCTGCAGACAAGTTAAAAGATGATATCTCTATACTAGGTACTTGTGTTTAATTTCTAAGATAGATTTTCTATGATCAAGGCATAGTTATGAAGCCCAAACCTCAACATCTTTACAGTATGACCACAATCCACAGGCCACCTTCTGATCTTACAAGTTTCCCCATGAGTATCCTTCATGGCAGAAGGCAAGCTGACATATTTTCTGCTCAAGATTCAGTCTATGGCAGACTTGCTTCACTGTCCCTTCTCTTCATCTCCTTTACTTCAGAGTAGCTACTTCTTTGGTCCTCTGTGGTCTTGCAGAGCTGTAAAACATTCACTTATTTCACAGACTGTGTCCTTATCTGGATCTGTCTGATGTTTATTCATCCTATGTCTAGGCCACATGCTTCTAGAAGGAAAGCACAGCAACCAACTGCTTCTCAGCCATTCCTACCAGGAGATGCACAGCATGGACTTGACCGATTGTTAGTATATGACTCATATTGGTCACTACCGAGATACTTGGGGCCTATGAAGTACTTGATTTTCCAACATAATTTTCCCACCAGTTTCACCAAATATCGAGCATTCTCACTTGAAATCATTACTGGCACAGTTGCCTGCCAAATGGTGATTTTTCTAACACCACTCACACCTATCAATCTGGAGCTTAAAAAAATCAGTATTTCTTCTCCACTTATTCTCTCTGGGAATAGAGGACCTATGCTTTTTTCACTCAGCCACAGCCTCATGATTAATGAGTACTATCTGTGCAGTGCATGTCTGTATATCCCTAATCCTGAGTGACACTGAGAATTGTTACATACTTCTGAAGACAACTTTAGTTTATTTTTATCACCTAGTAGTGCTGAGGCTCTATCTCAAGGCCTTGGATACACTTGGGTATGCATGCTTAGCTCCACACTCAGCCTAATTTCTTTCTAAATGAGTTATTTGTATTTTGTTTCCTTTCCTACTAGATATGTTCCCTCAATTTTCTGTTTCTCTCTGAATCTTGAGACAATCACAAATTTACAAAAAGACTAAGAGGAGCACTTCAAGCTTAGCTGCTGCTCTAGTCTGCTATTCTAAAGTCCTAAGGTTATGGCCATCAAAGTCATTAAGTGGCCTCCACATTCTTAGCGGGTGAGAGTGCTCACTTGCTGTCTCTCCTTTCCTTTACTCATTCCTCTAGAATGAGGAACATAGAATGCTGCAGATCGCAACAGTTACTTTGTAGACTGTCCCCTCCCTTGGATGTGGCTACTGTCACCTGCTGACTAAACTCAGACTATATACCTTTAATGGAAGCAGCACAGAACTGACTGGTGCTGTATTCTTTTCATGCTAGCCTGTCAGGGGGTAAGTGGTTTCAACATCCTCACCACCAATGAGGTTCACTGAGCCTGACTGCTTGATGGAACTGGTGTCTTCCAGGCCTCTTCACTGTACAGCTGTTCTCTTCCCTGTGCACTCAGTACTTATTTCACAGATTGGGCTCTCATTCCTATTTAGGCATCTTGTCCCTCACTGTAGTTATAAGAACTCAGTCACCACTCAATTGTTGAGTTACATCTACATGAACACATAGCTATATAGGCTGTAATGTTATATTTTGATACTCTCACTGTCCATAATCTGGAGAGGGAACTGTTTGTGAAGTGCTTTCTGGGTAATTACTATTTTCTCAACATGTTCTTGCTTTCTGACATAAGACATTCCAGGTTCATATTGCATTTATTTCTTTTGCCCAGCTATAAATCTGTTACTTCTCCATGGAGTCCAGGTTTCTTTCGGGAGGAGAAGAAATGATCATTTTCTCAGGACATATTTATTATATTTTACACTCACATGCACTCACACAAAGACATAATATTTACATCTGGTTCTGTCATTGAGTTGTATCAAGAAGCCATGCTTTTATACCAAGAACCCTGTTTCCTATTATCTTATATATTTCCTCATTTTATCCACATGTCTATGTGTGGCCATTCTCATCTCAGTCACTATCTACTTCTTGTGCATTCCTTTCTCGCTGTTCTTCAGGCTGGGAAGGACAGCCTTTCTCATTACATGTGGGCTCTGACAGTCTACACCAAGTTATACAGGTTGCTTCTGCCATTTTACACTGTAATAGCTTCCAAAAAGAACTGACACCTAAGATAAGTCTTAAAATATCCCTAATATTTAAGCAGCCATGGCCCAGGAATAACAATACATTTAAATTTACTTTAAAATGAAATAAACTCGTCTCCTTACCACACTGGTTACATTACCAGCACTCAAAGCCACACGTATCCTACCCAGAACAACGCAAGTATGGAACATGTCTACCAGGGCAGAAAGTTACCCTGGACAGTGTTGTTCTGGTGCCTTCATTAAATTCATCATGGAACATACAAAAGTCCCACACTTTTGTAGGAGAGGCAGAGAATTTAATTAATTTATGTAATAATCCACTGTAAGATTCAGGATACCTGACATTTTAAACAATGTATTACTCAAACGGGGCAAGGGGGGGGGGGGCTCAGTCTTTGATTCTGCCTGTGCAGAATCTCAAATGCACAGGAAAAGAAAGGGCTAAGAAAAAGCAGGGCAGAGAAAGCAGATAAGTAGAGGACTCAATGCTGCTTTTAGAGGACATTCCTTTCACCACCTCTTCCAATGCTTCTCTGACAGAGGTTTACATATGGGGGGGGTAATAATTTAGGCCCATCAAAATGGAATGTTTCCTTGAAGATATGGTAGTTTTATTTAAAACACATTAAAGAAAAATGTGATTAACCAAATGTATTACAACCCTCAAAACCAGAACCAGAATATTTGAAAAACAAAACAGCATATAGGCAACAATCACTACAGTAACTTGCCAAGCATATTTATTAAGTAACTGCATACCAGTTCAGATTTGAAGTAGCCTATTGTGTTTTCATCCAATTGGAAATATCTTCTCTTCCAGTTTTTCATCTACCAGAGAAGACACAGACATAGGCTTCAAAGAATGTCCAATGTTAATCATCCCTTAATCATTCCAATAAGAACCCACAATCAGAAATGCCAGTCTCACAGAAACAACACATCCTCCCCTTGAATGACAGCCTTGGGCAGCTCACTTTTGAGTTTGTGAATGACTCTGGTATTTCAGATTAAAAAAAAACAAAAAACTTTATTTTTATTTTATGTGCATTGGTGTTTTGCTTGCATCTATGTGTGAGGGAGCCAGATCCCCTGGAACTGAAGTTACAGACAGTTGTGAGTGGCCATGTGGGTTCTGGGAATCAAACCTAGGTCGTCTGGAAGAATAGTCAGTAATCTTAATGTTGAGCCACCTCTCCAGACCCTCAGATTTTTTTAAGATTTATTTATTTTATTTGTAGGAGTTCTCTATCTGCACGTATAACTTTATTCCAGAAGAGGGCATCAGATCCCACTATAGATGGTTGTGAGCCACCATGTGGTAGCTGGGAATTGAACTCAGGGCCTCTGGAAGAGCAGCCAGTGCTCTTAATTGCTGATCCATCTCTCTAGCCCAGTATTTCAGATTTTGATCTCCAATAGTGAAAAAGAAAGAAAAGGAATTCCCTTTCCTTCTTGCCAGCCCAGCCTACAAAGATCAGCACAGGAAATGTCATTAACCCATCAGGTTTCTCTATCCACAACATGTATGTCAAGTATTTAATATATAATAGGTCAGAAATAAATACAAAATAGAACAAAACCAACACAGAAAATGTTTAATACACTTTCATATGAATATTCATATCAATTTTTAGTATCCAAAAGTATCTGTAAATAGTGTTAGAGAGATGGCTCAGTAGTTCAATTCCTAGCACTCACACAGCAGTTCATAACTGCTATCCAGTTTCAGGGGGATCCTATACTCTCTTGCTGGCCTCCATTAGCATAGCACACACATGGTACACAGATGGGCATTTAAGTAAATACACATACACATAAAAATAGATAAAAATCTCAAAAAAATTAAGGAAAAAAAATCTGTAAATGACATTTATTTATTTATTTATTTATTTATTTATTTATTTATTTATTTTAAGATTTAGGAATAAAGGTTACCTCCTTAAAAGACATTAGCCTACAACTAAACCTCACAGCCTGGGGGATATACTGCCTCTATCTATAGACAGCCTATCTTGAGAAACCTCTGGCCCCGCCTTCCTTTCCCTGGGACCAATGATATAATAGGCAAGAATGTTCCCAAGCTAAGCTGTCAGAAATTGGGGAACAATCAAGCAGAATTACCAGGAAATTTTGAAGTATTTCTTTATTCACACTTTTTCCTTTTGTTTTCAAATGTTAACTTTATCTTCTCTTGAGATTCTCAAGATTTAGTTCAAACAGAATAAACTTTAGATAAACCAATAAAAAACAAACAAAAAAACATCAGCTGGGTGGTGGCACAGCTTTAATCCCAGCATCCAGAGGCAGAGAAAGGCAGATCCCTGAGTTCAAGGCCAGCAGCCACGCCTACAGAAAATTCCAGGACAACACATAACTTGAACTCTTGAATTGCAAGCTTGCTGGCACATGACCTTCCCAATTTCACAGGTATGGTTAAGCTACTCACCACTGCTCCTTGTTTCACACAATACCCAGCTTTGATAACTGCACTGTCTGGAGGTGGCTTAGGAGTAAAGTAGGGAAGATGGCTTTGTGACCGTTTCAAATTGTTTCGGTCAACAATTTCACCACATTCATTTACTTCTTCTTTCTAAAACGAAGCAAAAGAAATATTTTCTAACTTTAAAATATACTTTCATTTAATGTTATCTTAGAAAATCTTAAAATCTGTGACAATCCCAACTTTCGTGTCATTGGTCAAACCACAAACATCCACTTCTATAGTTCTGCAAAAACTCCTGTCTTTATGCTTTTCCTTGGGGTGGGGGCTTTTATACTGAAATAATTTAAACAGATCCACAGGAAGTTACAATAAAAATAAAAAGTAGCAGGGGTCCTTCAACCAAATTCTTCCCAAAGGGAGTATATATTTCCAGAATACATTACACAAACCAAGCATCCATAAACTTTATTCAGTTTTTAACAGTTATACAGTTTGTCCATATGTAATACTACCACATGCAGCTGCCTGTTGTGACATATTTGTACACTGTGTGAAGATAGATTGCTGTGATTGGTTTTATAAAGAGCTGAAAAGCCAATAGCTAGGAGGGACTTCAGTTAAAGAGGAAGTTGGAGGAGATAATCAAGGCATAGAGGAGATGCCAGGAGACACAGAGAGGAAACACGAAGTGAAAGATGGAAGAGAGATAATGACACGTGATAGAATGTAATTAATAAAATGTGTTAATTTAAGTAATAAGAGCTGGTTAGGAACAAGCCTAAACTATAGGCTGGGCTTTCATAATTAATAACAAGACTCTGTGTCATCATTTGTGAGCTGGTGGCCCCAAAGAAAGTCCAACTATAAGCTGCACAACGATTGCCACAATCAACACAACGAACCGCTTGCTGCCATGGGGTCTGCTAGTGATGCCCTTGAAGCATTCCTTCATTTGTTCCCGACATTTTGAGAATATAAACTGAAGAACACACTAAGGATCTTTTTAGATTCTTTTTAAAAACTCACTCAACATAACTCTCTGGAGGCTCATTCGGGTGACTCTTGGTGTCAATAGTTCATCATCTATATTCTGCTATATCCAGTGCTGTGGGTGTACCACCATACCATGCTGCTGACTGGCTATCCAATTAACAGTGTGTTATTTCCAGTTTCTGGCTACTAGGAATGAAATGACTATAAGTGTCCACATACAGGTTTTTGTATGACCATAATTGCCCACTTCTTTAGAATAAGTGCCTAGGAGAGTACATACTAGGCTGGAGAGTAATTACAAATTTACTCAAAGATGACAACAAGAAAACCACCACACTGAGTTTTTTTGGTTTTTGTTATTGTTGTTTTGTTTTGCTTTAGAGTGGCTGAACTGTTTTATTTGCATCTCCACCAGCAATGAATAAGAGGCCCAAGCATCTCTGCTCAGGTATAATTGTTCACTGTATCCTTAGTTCGAATTTTTTTCTACTGTCTACAAATGGTGACCATCTCTGCTAGTGCCTATTAGCACATATTTCATTTTTGAGTGAAATGTCTGTTTATGAATTTTGTCTACATTTAAGGATTTCTGTTTGTTTGCTAATTATTGGGTTTTGAGAGGGTTTTTTTTTTTTTTTCTGAAGATAAAAATCCTTAGTTGGATAAGCTCGTAAACTTTTCTTCTAGTCTACCTGTTTTTATTTGTTTGCTTTTTGCTGACTGGCCTCACACTCAGAGAACCACCTGCCTCTGCCTCACAAGTGCTGGGACTAAAGGTGTGGGCCAGCACAGCTGGCTAGTCTGCCTTTCCTATTCATCCTCTGAATAGAGCCTTTCATAAAACAAGCATTTGAAATACTCATGCTGTACAGTTATCAGTCTCCTTTCATTGATAATGTGCCTGATGTCAAATGTTCTTTAATCCTTGACCTGCTCAATCCTGAAAGTGCTAAGTTTTATGGTTTTGCTTGTTTGTTTTGTTTAATTTTTGTTTTTTGAGACAGGATTTTTCTGTATAGCTTTGGAGCTTGTCTTGGAACTAGCTCTGTAGAAGGGAGGGGAGGGGAGAGGGGAGAGGGGAGGGGAGGAGAGGGGAGGGGAGGAAAGAGAAAAGCCCTCCATTTGTCTATCAGTAGAGGCTTATAAATTAGGATAAATCCACAGCAGAACTCTGTAGCCATTAAAAGTGATAGAGAATAACTTCTGATGACTGATGTAAGATATGCTGCTACAAAGTCTGACATGTAACTCCCATCTCCACTTTGGTAGGGAGACTACAAAAGAATTCAGCTCAGAGAAGGATGAGTGTTAATCTCTGTAACTTCCAATCTTTTTTACAATAAACAAAGTTTGCAAAACACTTTCAGAATAGGAAACTACATTAAAAGCTTTTGTAGTTAATAAATATTGAATTAATTCAGCAAAGACATTCTGTTTCAGTTTTGATGAAAATGCAAATATCAATAAACAGTCATGAGACCTCCATTCAACAGAGCATTGATTTGTTACCTGAGTTGGAGTGATGATGGGAACACCACCAACAATATCAGTTCTGTAAGACACTTGCTTCTTGCCACAGTCACCTTGGCGACTCAGGCTGTCAGAAGCTGGCTGTGAGTCCGACTGCTTTGGTACCTGGAAGAGTGAGATGGGTTATCATGCAGCCAAAATCGCAGAATTGTATTTGCAACCCTCTCCATCACCACAGAATTTTCAACTAGTTGTCTGTAGATAACTGAAAAATAATAATCTATTTGCAATATTATGACTCAAGATCTCAGATTGTTCTGGACTAACACCACTTTAGGATACAGGCATCACCACCGACTGCTGTTGCTTGTGCAGCCACTACTTTATACACTTCCTCCTTTCTCCCCTGGCCAACTCTCAGCACAGTTTGAGAAGGAAGCAGGGCTCAGAGGCAGCAGGGAACAGAGGCTGAGATCCCTGCTGTACTACATTCTAGGCAAGTTTGTGCAAAAATGAAATAAACATGGCATCGATTACATAATGAGTATGATTTAAAGAATACTTCATTTAGAAATCTTCACAGTCTTTCAGAAATATTATCAACAATATGAATGACAAACACAAAGGTAATGGTATAAAATTAAGTCATTTGCCCATCACCTGTGAACCGCAGAGAAACTACCACTAACACTGTAGTCAAAGGCCTTACATGTACTAATGTGATTCCATCCAAGGCAAGGGAACGGACATAAGACATTACTCAGGAACATCACTAAACACTGTAATTCCCAGGCTCTATCCCCAGAATAAGTTTCTAGAACATTCCCCTCAAACTGCTTTCAGAAGGAACAGGTGCTTTTGAGGGACAGTATTTCAAATTACATTTCAAGAAACTGCTCTCTCTCATTGTACATCACACTGCACTCACCAGATTTGGAGAAGACCTGGTGTACAATGCAGACAAGGGTTTATTTACAAAGACACTCTTTTCAAATACTCAATAAGCATGGGCCCTTGTGTGTGAGAAGATCTCAAGCCACATGTACTCATGGACATAACTGTCCAAGGGTAAGAATGGCTTATATCTTAGGTAATGTCATTTTCTCCCATGCCTCCCTTGTCAGGCTTTCCATCGGGCCCTGGCAGCGCCCTCCAGTTTCAAATGCATACTCCCAATACAGTATCAAGCACTGGTGGAAACAGGAGGAAGAGAGAAAGGGAGCCTGGCAGTGGTAGCACACATCTTTAGTCCCAGTGCTAGGGAGGCAGAGGCAGGTGAATTTCTGAGTTTGAAGCCAGCCTTGTCTACAGTGAGTTCCAGGATAGCCAGGGCTAAACAGAGAAACCTTACTCAAAAAGACAAAACAGAGGAGACTGGGGGAGAGAAAGGGGAAGGGGAAGGGAAATGGAAAGGGGAAAGGAAGGGAAGGAAAAGGAGGAAGGGAAGGAAAGGAAGGGAAGGAAAGGAAGGGAAAGGGAAGGGAGAGGAAAGGGAAAGGAAGGAGGTGAATCCTGAATGCCTGTGGAATTCTTGAGTGCTTTTTAACAGCAATTGTAATAGTGGTCATTGTGTTAGTTGTTGGCTACAATTAAGATACCACACCCTAGACCAATTTGCAGATGAACTCTAGTACATTTTCCAGAATCACGTAACATATTTCAGTCATTCTACAAAGTGTGGTCCTATCAACTCACTGAAAACAGAAAAGAGCCATAAGAGAATCGGAAGCTACAGAGCTGACGGCTGCTCTGTAATGACCTGCGAGAGGAGCAAGCAGTGGTATCCTCCAGCTAAGGGTTCTCCTACTTGTAAGGATTTCTAAAGAAAGGTCTTCTACGGAAACTTAAAATACGCTAACATAAGCTGTTTTCCCCATTTTTCTTCCAGAAGCTTCATACAAAAAAGTCCTTTTCTGTGCAACTGGCCCACTGCTAACAGCCCTCATAATAAAGTCTATGCAAGCACAACTGCCCCACTCACACTGCAGGCTACAATAAAAAACCATCTAATTTACACTTGCTTTGTTTTCAAGAAAAGCACAAGTAAACTATCCAGGTATAAAGTGATTCCCTCAGAGTTTACAAAAGGCTCTTAATGAAAAGTGCGTCAAATCCAAAGACGAAGACAAAAACACGCACACCCCACCCTCAAATCAGCCAACTGTTAATTAGCATCAAACAGCCACTCACAGGGCAGAGGACAAATGCCAAAAATTAATGTGCTTCTGGCTCTATGGCTTCCTCCCTGTTTTTTATGTGACTATTTCTTGGGAGGGGTCTGAATGTGTGTGTTCTTAGCAGTCATTTACTATAACCCCAATAAAATGTTCCAATACTAGAAAAGAAAATAATGACTAGAGAAGGAAGATATGAGCAAAATAGACATTTATGGCTAAAATAAATAAAAGGCTACAGGCTTCTCAAAAGTTACAGGGGAGTGAACTTCAGCTAACAAGGATTGAGGACAGAGCTGGAGGACAGAAACTAAGATGTTTGATAAACTCTTTGGCAGCAAGATCTACAGTCCCTCCCTCCATCTGACCTGGCTGGCTGACAAAGGCTTGGTTAACACTGCAGGGCAGCAAGGGCATTCTTTAGAACAATATTCAACTTACTTGTCCTAGTTCTCATTAAAAAAAAAAAAAAAGTCCCTGTGGAGTTCCCGTTAGATTAAAAGCTAATGTAGACGTTTAAATTAGAAGTTATGGTAGAAAAAGACATTTTAGAAATAGTGAGCATCTGCTTAGGAAAAAGCTATGGGAATCTTCATCACTCTTTAAACCAGTAAGGAACTACTACACCGATGGTAGACAATTAACACATTTGAAAGCATGCTTCCAATTTTGATTTTCCAAACTCAAGTCACTGAAAATGCCCTTTAAGGATATTTTTTCTAATAATACTGACTTTTTAAAAATCTTTTTGTTTCTTCTTTAAATATTTAGGAAAGAATTTACAGTGCTACACAGACAGCAGGTAAGGAAAGACAGACTATAGTTGTGAAAGGCAGTGCACTAAAGTGTACTATTACAATTGGAACATTTAACTAATTACCATGTTCTCAGCCACGATGCTCTAATAATATCTGAGGTAAAACCATACTCTGAAAAACTCCAGTTTTAAATTTCTGCATGTTTTAAGTGTATAGATGACATAGTACTCAGCAACTAAATTATAGTTGATCAAAATATCATTTGTAATGATTGAAGAAGAAGGTAAAACTACACATGTACTAAAATGGAAGCATTAATCTTTCAAAGATCCTACATATAAACCATTAGCCATTTAGATAGACATTAGTCATATCACATTCCAATATACTTAAATGTGAAAATGCTCATAAGGTTTAAACTGTTAGGACCTCTAAAAATTTAATAAAATATCTGTTTTTAACCACACACACACACATACGCACGCACGCACAGCACACACATTTGGTTTTTTGAGACAGGGTTTCTCTATGTAGCCCTGGCTACCCTAGAACTCACTCTGTAGACCAAGCTAGCCTCAAACTCACAGAGATCTACCTGCCTCTATTTCCCAGGTGCTGAGATTAAAGACCTGTACCACTACTACCTGATGGGAGATGTCATTCTGTATATGTTTTTTATACTGGTTAATAATAAAGCACTGTTGGCCAATAGGAAAGGAAGATAGGAGGGACTAGGAGAGAAGGAGGAAAGAGAAAGTAGTAAGGAGAGCCAAGATGGAGAGTCAGGAGAAAGTAGTATGTGGCAGCTGGCTCTGGGTAAGAAGACCATGTGAAAATACAATTATGATATAGATATGAATACTTTGCTTTGGAATGGATTTTCATTTATTGATACAATTTAATGTCAATTTTGTGAGATGAATATTTCTCCTCTTGTTTAGGTATTGTGTTTATATAGCTCATTTAAAAATGTAATGTATAATGTAGTACAGATAATAGATAATTACCTATGATAGTCAAAGCTTAGAGTTAAGTTAGTTAGGTTTTTCAACATACACAGAGATGTATTTGAGATAGATAGGCATTCTTCAAACCTTTCAAAGACCTACAGAACATGGCATTTAAAATGGCTTAGCGTTTTTCTTGACAGTGAGACATAATTGTTCCTGGCAACACCACCTGCGTCAAAAAAAAAAGATGGACATTGAAGAAACTCGTTATGGAGTTTACTAATATGGCAAGACTAGCCATTTGGACAAGATACTGCTCTTGTCTGGACTGTTTGACTTTATGCTGTATAAACTAGACATGCAGGACCCAACGAAAAGTGACTGCTGATTCAACATGGACATTGCTATAGAGTTCCTGCTTAATGAAAGAGTCTGCCAGACAGTCTGCAGGACACAGAGAAAAGTGACTGACAAACTGCCAATACAAAAAGACAGTTTAAAGTTTCCTGCTTTGCTGGAGAGTCTGCCAGACACACTATGGCCTATGGGCTAAAGATGGAAGATTACAGAAAAACTTCAGGTGACTGACAAAGACAAGATGTCTCTGTCATTTGTAGAGTTTATATATTATCCTTCTGTGGTCTTTGAAGGAGTTGAAGACAGTTATGGTATAGACTTTAGACACACAAAGATAAAATAGATGATGAAATATTTTCTTAAATCTTGCTAAATGTTAATGGGCTAAATATTGTTAACTGTGATTCTTACTTAATAACTGTTGTATAATATATTTTGCTATGTTAAGTTTAAAACCCTTCTTTTTATTTAGACAGAAAAAAGGAGATGATGGGAGATGTCATTCTGTATATGTTTATCATACTGGTTAATAATAAAGCACTGTTGGCCAATAGGAAAGGAAGATAGGAGGGACTAGGAGAGAAGGAGGAAAGAGAAAGTAGTAAGGAGAGCCAAGATGGAGAGTCAGGAGAAAGCAGTATGCGGCAGCTGGCTCCGGGTAAGAAGACCATGTGGAAATACATAGATTAACACAAATGGGTTAATACTTAAGATAGAGCTAGCCAATAAAAAAATAGTAACCAGGCCAACAGATTATATCGAATACAGAGTCTCTGTATGTTATTTGGGGCTGGCGCGGCTGCCGGACAAGAGTGGCGGCGGGTGGAAAACCGAACTCCTTACAACTACCTGCCTGTAAATTCTCTCATTTTCCAATATTTACCTAAAAATGACTCCAGCCAATTACCAGTTCTATATTCTCATCACTGTACTTATAATTATTTTACTTATGAATTTGGTATCTTACTTACCATTTATATTTTCTAAATATGAATTATAAAATCATAGAAATTAATATCCAGATTTATCCAAAAACAGTAAAAATGTCATATAAAACAAAGCTGCAAGATCCCAAGAGGTAATTAAATATTACCAGTTTTTCCTTCCTACTGAAAGGCTTGCAATGACATGAAGAACTATTTAGTCCCACAAATAAATGACAGCAATTCAAGGCATTCCAACTTAGTAAAATGCTGAGAACATTCATTAATTCTACTTTCCTTTAAGTCACTAAAAGAAGCCAGGTCTGCTTATTACTGTAAGACTGTGAAAACAAATTCAGGAAAGTACTACATATGGACTTCATAAAGACATCTTCCAGGTAGGGAATATTTATTAGGAGCTCAACATGATCAGCTAAAACCTTATAAGAACATAAACTTCTGAATCTGCTCAAAATATTGCTATCCTGAAACTGCACAAACCCAAAAATAACTTCTGCTTCACATAGAGCTCAGATGTGGTGTGTGGGCGCTTTCTGTCATGTGGTAACAAGCTGTTCTGATGCAAGACAAAAATTTTGACCTAAGAACAGCCTTGGTAGTCCTTCTTAACTCTACTGCTGTGTGACATTGATATAGAATGTTCACTTTACATGAGGATTACATGCATTGATTTTCCAGGAACATGCTCTTTGACCAAGAGTAGATCAGAACCAGTAAATAACTATACTTTACTAAAAACAAACTTTAACTGATACAACCCTACACAGGAGGAACTTCTTCCCAAGGCCTTCTAGGTAGCCAACTCTGTCTTAGGAGGAAAGGTACAGCAAGGGAGTCCATGGACTCAGCAGCAGAAGAAACTTGCTCAGACTTTCTGACTTTAGGAAGGGGCTCTATGCTCACTGCACTGCAAAGTTCAGGGTCCACCAATCAACAGGCTTGCCTGGATTCCAACCTCATAGCTTACCAGTGCTAAAGTCTGTACAAGTCACTCAAACTTTCTGGAAAGCTGAGGGGTTATAATCTTCCATCCAAAGCCTGCCTGCTAGTACAATATAAGTAGTCAATAAGCACTGACTGTTGTTCATGTTAACCAAACAGAAGAAAAGAACTGAACAGCTGTGAGTTGTAGCATCAGCAGGTAGGGAAGAGTAGCAGGCCCTGAAACTCCAGGGGAAAAAAAGGGCAGATGAGAGAAGGAGTTTAAAATCTCAGACAACTCTAGAGCACACAGGCAGGACCCTCTGGTTCCCACAGCTCTTCACAATCTCTACACTTATGCCCTCCCTTGTTCACACCCATCTTCTCCATGGCTTAGGAATGGAGATTGCTTGTGCCCATCCCCACAGTAAGTTGTTCAAAGCCTCTCATCCTACTCTAGACATAAGACAAAAAATGTAATCTATATGCACAGTGATGTGAGTCCCTTACTGAGGACACAGTGAAAGGCACCCACAGGCTGACTGTACCCATGCACAAGAAAATGGCTCACATTCAGAACTTATCTTTTAAACCAAGCTTGATTTTTTCAACCTGACAGTAAGCTGAAGATATCAGACACATTTTAAAATGTAAATATTATATCTGTAAAGGGAAAATTTTAAATGTATACTTACTGTAATTTTTATAGCTTTGTTCAAGACATTTACCCACTCCACTAAGTCTTGCTGATCATTGGCTTGTAGGAAGTATTTTCTCATCCCTGCATTCATAACTGTCAAAGAAAATATATGAAATATTATAGTAGTTGCCTCTAAATTATATAGAGAACAGTTGCAAAAGTCTTAGCAGATTCAATATAGCAACTCTTGGATTTCACAAAATATACTAGGCCATATAAAACACTGCTTTCATTGCTGAGCTACACAGGCAAAACTCTTTCATGACCAGTTTTCATTAACTGCAAATATCACTAAATAGTGAGTTAGTTCTCCAATGATACCAGCACTCAGGAACCAGAGGCAGGTGGATATCTATGAATTCAAGGCCAGTCTGGGACAGGACTACATATATATGTTTCTCTTATTGGTTGATGAATAAAACACTGATTGGCCAGTAGCCAGGCAGGAAGTATAGGCAGAGCTACCAGAGGAGGAGAATGTTGGGGAGAGGACTCAGAGAGAGGACGCCAAGAGACGCCATACTGTCAAAGGAGTAACAAGCCTGATTACAAGTAAATCACAGCCTCATGGCAATACACAGATTAATAGAAATGGGTTAATAGTTAAGAGAGAGATAGCCAATAAGAAGCCAAACAGTTTAATAATTTATATAGCGTCCATGTGCTTATTTGAGGTTAAATGGCTGCAGCCAGAGAAACCTTATCTCGGAAAAAAAGCAACCAAACAATGAAACATCACTTAAGCATCTTCCTCCATACTTTGGTCAGTATTTCTGTGGAATGATTTTCTTGTTACAGACCTAATGAGTTACAGTGAATTAACATTTAAAAATTTTGTTTCGAGGGGACTGGAGAGATGGCTCAGCAGTTAAGAGCACTGGCTACACTTCCAGAGGACCTGTTCCAAGGGATCCAACAACCTCTTCTAGCCTCTGAGATCACTACATACAAGTGGTACAAAGACATACATGCCAACAAAATACCCACACTAATAATTTTAAAAAGCATTTTTAAAAATTCTAATTTTTAAAAAGTTTTGTTTTGGGCCAGGTATGGTGGCTCACAGATTTCATCCCAAGACTCAGGAGGCAGAGGCAGGTGGATCTCTTTGTGTTCAATATCAGCCTAGATTACAAAGTAGTACCAGGCCAGCTAGGGCCATATAGTGAGACCCTGTCTCAAACAAACAACAAAAAGAAAAAGAGAAGAAATGGCTCAGAAGTTAAGAGCATTTACTGTTCTTGCTGAGGTCCTGAGTTCAATTCCCAGCAACCACATGGTGGCTCACAACCCTCTGTAATGAGATCTGGTGCCCTCTTCTTGTGTGCAGGCATACATGTAGGCAGAACACTGTATACATAATAAATAAATAAATCTTTAAAAAAAAAAGAGAGAGAAGAAACCTAACTTTCACCTTAGAAAATTGTCTTCCCTAATACTGAATCCCTATACAGAAATTTCTTCCCAATTTTATACACAAGGCCTCTAATAACTCACCTGTACTGTTATCAGCATCTGTGCTACATATACACATGTTGCTTTAAAGTCTTTAAGCTTGTGGGCTTAAATGTTATTTCATAGCTTTCTGGTAGCTGCTCTTCCACAGTCCAAGGCTATGTACTAACCTCTTCCCTTCTCTCTCCTAGGCCCAGGGTAGAGCTGCTTCATGCTGTCTCCAATGTCTGAGTCAGTGCACCATCCCCACTGTGCTCCTTCTGTCTTCTGACATTTGTGAAAATAATCCCTTGTAACAATTACATTGGGACTGAGAAATGCCTCAAATGGTATTTCATTCAAAGGAACCTAACTGATACAGCACTTTATTAACAACCTAATGAGTTGCAAGTTAGTAGATAACTAGACCTTGTTTGAATTTAATTATTGAGAAAATAAGTTTTATATGAGTATTAGGCACCTGCATTTGCTTCATGAGCTTTGTATATTCATTCACGCATTTCTCTTGAGCTGCTCAGTTGTAATTTACTGATCTGCAGAAACTTTTCTATTAATTAGTTACTTTATCATAAGCACATTCCCTGTGAATTCTCACTTTGTTCATAGTACCTTTGACAAAATAAATATTCTATCAGTTTTCCCTTTAATCTTTGTGTATTTGAAAACCTCCATAATTTAAGCATATAAATATATTTAATTTTTAGCCCCAAAATAATATTTGTGTTTAACTTTAAACTTATTATTATGCTTGAAGCTTTCACCAAAAAACAAAACAAACCTTTTTTCTTTTGAGACAGGGTTTATTATGCATCCTTGGCTGGCCTGGAGCTTGATATGTAGACCAGGGCCTCAAACTCACAGAGATCCATCAGCCTCTGTTTTCCAAGTGCTGGGATTATAAATGCCCTTAAGGACTAAGACTATGCACTTCATAAAGCACATCTTTAATTACATCTATTAATATCATATGCATTTGTTTAGAAAATCAAATACTATTGTAGGAGGTAAGGCATCTGAATAGCTACACTATTGAAATTGTTCAAATAGTAAATCAACTTCCAAGGCCAGGTATGGCTGCATATACCTTTAATACTAGCACTCTGGAAGGCAGAGGTAGGCTTACCTCTGTGAGTTCCAGGCCAGCCCAGTCTACATAGTGAATTCTAGGATAGCCAAGGCTACAGAGTGAGAGCCTGTTTAAAAACCAAACAAAACAAAAAACAAAAAAAAAACAAAAAACAAAAAACCCAAAAAGTCCAAAAATTCTCTACCACAACATTGAATAATTAATGTACTAGCACTCAATTGAATATGACTAGGCGAAGAAGGAAATGAAAACCCTCAAGGGAAAAGAAAAGTTATTTCTCAAACACACAAGAAACATTAAAATTGGGCCCAAGAACAAGCTACTCTAAACCAGAGCTCCCTAGATTAAGTTGAAGATCACAGAAATCAAAGTATATCTTATGAAATGCTACAGAAAAATTCATCTGAAAAGTAAAAAACTACAATACACCATTATTGTACTTTTGTGTTTCTAGAGCAGCAGTTCTCAACCTGTGGGTCATGATCCCCTTGGTGGGGTTGAATAATCCCATCACAGGAGTCATCTAAGACCATTGGAAAACACGGATATTTACATTATAATTTATAACTGAAACAAAATTACAGTCATGAAGTAACAAGGAAAATAATTTTATGGTTGGGGGGCACCACAACATGGGGAACTGCATTAAAGGGTTGCAGCATTAGAAAGAGTGAGAACCACTAGACAATGGACTTCAGCATAACTAAGAACTAGGATACTGCATCTATCTACAAACAACTTCCATTGTTAACATCCAGCAGTCAGCTCAGTATGCATTCAGACCTTGTTCAGCACTGGCTCAATGGCGACTTCCGATTGTTTGAGGCATCAGCTCAGAACACTAAAGAGATTTACAGTCTAAGTATTTGGGGCTGGAGAAATGGCTCAGTTCTTCCAAAGGACACATTCCAATTCCAGCACCCATGTGACCCAGGGAAATCTGACAGGTACCACCAGGCACACACCTGGTACCCAGACATACATGCAAGCAAAACACCTATACACAAAAAATAAAATAGTAAGTTTAAAAATAAATAAAATCTAACAGTGTACTACAACAGCTGGCACAAAGCAAATGTATGACACGCATACTTCTAAATGAATAATATTTATATAAGGGCCTTTTTTGAAAAAAAGAGGCCAACATAACTAAACTAAAAAGACTCCTTGCAGTTGGAGATGTTCACCTACCAAGCTTTGGGTTTGTTTCATCTCTAGTTCCCAACACCCAAAACTAAAACAAACAAACAAAAATTAAACTCTTTATATACCTTGTGGTTTAAATAAAAAACTTGCAAGCTTTTATTTCATGGCAAGGGGAGCAAAGAGGCATCTGCTACAAACTAAGAAGCCAGAAATCAACAAGGCTGATAAACTTATGTTGTGCGCCTGAACACTGTCTAATTTGAATCTTTGCTCTGCTCAACTATGATTCAGCAATGTCACACGTCCTTTCCCAGAGAAAAAGTGACAATGCATGTGAAGAACGGACACAACAACCCTCTCTATCATTGCCCTCAGATTCCCTAAGTGTGATTTATTGGGAAGTGGTGTGCATGAATGACAGGGGAGAGAGCAGACATTGAAATGAAGAAAAAGCTGTGAATACTACAAACACAAAGCTAGGGCACCTCTAGGGTTGCCAAGCTTTTTAAACAAGAGTGTCCTATGAACCTAAGTCCTCAGGGGTTTGTCTGCTTCCTGCCTTTTCATCTGAGTACATTTTTACTCAAATCTTTACAACAGAGCAAATGAAACAAATGCATAAAATCTACAGCACAGACATTAGTGTAACTGCAGCAAAACCTTCTTAGGGTCCAGGACTAAATGGCTGTGACTAGTATGGCCACAGATCTGGTGATAAGGCATGCACCAGGTTCTCACTTCCCTGGTTTTCTTTCCCACTCTTTATTATTATTATTACTTTATTTTTGTTTTTTTGAAAATGACTCGGTACACAGTCCAGGCTGGTGGCCTAGGACCTACAATCCTCTTGAAATACTGAGATTACAAATTTATAAGTGAGATTGCCTTATCAAATTCTCTATTACCTCTTTTTAACTTTTGCTGAATTTGTTTGTTTTTGTTTTTTAAATTAGCCAGGTGGCATTGGCGAAAGCCTTTAATTCCAGGACTAGGGAGGTAGAAGTGGGCAGATCTCTCTGAGTTTGAGGCCAGCCTGGTCTACAGAGGTCCAGGCCAGCTTGGGATATACAGAAAAACCCTAAACCCTATCTTGGGCAGGGTGAAAGTGAGTTTGCATTACTTATATCTTTTTATGTCTGACAATTTTCAAATACTAAGTAACCTGGGCTTTCTGCTACTATTTTAAAAGAGGGATTAAAAAGGCTAGTTGTGCCCTCTTGGGTTGTGAGGTCAGTACTAGGGGGACTACCCCATGTCAGTACCATCCCTTGGTTCCTGAGTGCATTCTGACTCTACCCACCCAATGCTGCCTGCAGCTGGTTGCAGGCTCCCTGGGGCTACACAGGACAGGGTTCTGTTCAGTATTCAGATTCTCCTTTAATCCTTCTTTTCAGTTTCATGCCTCATTCCTTCCCTTCTCCAGGATTAGCGTTAGTTTCTATTTCTGGACACACCACACATCCCATTCCCTGCTGGGCTGGGGGAAGGGTGGCTGCCCACAAGAGCCAGATGGAGATAGAGACTAGAATTTTTTTTTTTTTTTTTAAAGACATCCAAACAAAGAACCTGTTTTCAGTTCCCCATCCTGCAAACAGGGCCCATTACCTAAGCCTATTAGAGAGGATGGGGCAGAGCACTGAAATGGTTAGCTCTGCATTGGCCTCTTTCTCTGCTCTGCAAAGTGAACTGCTATTCCTCCATCTGCTTCCATATTTACACACCGAGGGCCACCTGCTCATGTATCCTACTTTATCAAAGGTAAGGTTTAAGTGTTTGTTCCCTCTGTTTCAGGGGAATTAGAGGTATCCTGCCACTTAGAATGAAGTCGGGTTGAATCTCTTTATTCTTGCCAGATGCAGAGGACTATAGAAAAGATGAACAAGAGGCTCATCTTACTCTTGATTTCAACTAAAATCACCTACTCTAACTAGGCCCAGTAACTATGAATGCTGAGTTTATTACTTTAAACTATGCCTTCAAACTAACAAAGGGGAGATTTTTTTTTAAGTGTTAAGAATATGTGTATTTGGGCTGGAGGTATATTTTGTTCAGTGGCCTAGTATGCCCAAGTTCTAGGTTGCCATCCAGCACTACAAAATAAGTATGTGATCATATATTCTAACAGAATTCTCTGTTAGGTGACAAGCCTTAATACCCTTTCATTCCAAGGCTCTGAAACATTCTCTTATTTAGTAACTGCAATTCTAATCTGCAATAATGTACAACTTTTACAGAAGTTTCTTAGTAATGGCAAACACCCTAGGCAACTGAGCAACTAACTTCATTCTGTTCAAAATGGCTTTTCTTACTGGATATATGTGGCTGCTATCAGATACTGCTCTGAACACCAACCTGCAGGAGAAAGCCACCCTCTACACACAAAAAACTTTAACATTAACTTTGCCCCAAAAGTACTCTTTTTAACTTCAATATAAAACAGTCCCCTTTCTATACCAGTTAGTCTTAATTTCTGTCCCTTCCCACTTTAACAGACTAACAGGGCGCCAATATTCTTAGTTTGACCTACCACTCATTCTCTTAACACACTCTAAATTTCTCCACATATTAATGCACATTAATTGTAAAAGCCAAGAGGTCTCACTGCCACTCTGTCCACCCTCCCTGTCTCCTCTCTTGTTCCGTGTTCTAGTTATTTGCCTCACTGCTATAACAAAATATCTGACAGAAGCAATTTAAGGAAGAAAGGCAGGGTTAATTCTTGTGCATAGTTCCAGGTGATACAGCCCATCCTGGCAGGAAAGGTAGCAGGAAGAGGAGATGGCAGAGCACACTGCATCCACACTCAGGAAGCAGAGAATGATGAATGTGTATGGTCTGCTCACTTCCTCTTCAAGTCCATGTATGGTTTGACTCACATTTAGGATGGATCTTCCCACCTTTGTTGATCTAATCTAGAAACTCCTGAACAGAAGTGTTTAGAGGGTGTTTTCATGATGATTCTAAATCCTGTAAGTTGATGATTAAGATTAGGCATCACACCCCAGCATCCTGTTCCACAGATAGGTTCTCTTCTTCCCTGAACCTTTCTACTTTCAGGTCATTTTTACCTCTAATTTCCACATATAAAGAAAAAAAAAAAAAACCACTTCTGGGCATATGCCTAAAGGAAATGAAATCAGCATACAAAAGAGACATCAGCAAACCCATGATAGCACAATTTGTAAATCAGGATATGGAACCTGCCTGGGTGGATGCCAAATCTCCAAGTCTCTGTACCTTTTCTTCTAATGTTCTTCCAGCTTGTCTCACCTCCATTTGCTCCATCCCAGTTCAAGGCATTAAGTATAGTTCAAAACTCACATGACTGACTCATCTATTTGTTGACTCTCATGCTTGCAGCCAGTAACCTCATTCACCTCAGGTCTTTCAGGCACTCTTGTGTACTTTCTTTTTCAAAATAAGGAAATGCATTGCTTGTTAACATTCCACACCCAGACTTCTGCCTCCAGCATCTGCCTTCAGTTTCCTCCATCAAATTCTCCTCCCCCGCACACCTCTGCCCAAGAGGTCTTATTTACCTCATGGTGGTCAGCGATTTACTTGGCTCCCAGCATGGGGTGTCCTCATCCATGATGGCACCCTTGACTCTACATCCCCTCTATCTACTGAATGCTGGAATGTCACTGATGACATGACAACAGCAGGTATTGTAGCTGTCTATCAGCTAGCTTGAGATCCTTGAGGCACCAATACTCCTTATTCTCCCACAGCCCAAGTTGTCCTAGGCATTCACTAAGCACCTGCTCACACTTGATGTAACATCCTCAATTCTCCTGCCTCCAAGTTGTGAATCTCTCATCCCCTTGCAAAAGACCAAGTCCTTTACATTATTTATGCGGTCAATAGAGAAAATAAGGTAGAGAATTAAAACCAACCCAAACTACTGCTGGGTGAGATCATAACAGTTACTTACACATGAATGTGGGGAGGTTATGACTAGGATGAGACAAGGAAAGGCACTTGGGGTTGGGAGCCAGGGTCAAAGTTTTATTCCCTCACTTAGATGATGGTTGTAAATTAATTTCCTATAGATTCATTAAGCCATAGGTTTGTTTCTTGTGACTGTATTACTTTATAAGTATATCAGCCTAATTGAAAATAACAAACAGGGTTGGCAAGATGGCTCAACAGGTAAAGATACTTGCCACCAAGCCTGATGGGCCTGAGTTCAATCCCTTGAACTCACATGGAAAAATGGGAGAACTGACTTCTGTATCCACATGAGTGCTGTGTCACACACACACACATGTTTTAAAAAGAACTAAGAGATGGAATGATATAATTTAGAAAATAAAGAAATGTAAATATGGCTACTTACCAAAACAGAACTCTGCCTTTGGCCTTAACTTAGTTGCATCGCTAACCTAATAAGAAAAAGAGATCTGAGTAACTCCTTCTCCACATGCTACAATATTCAGTTTCAAATACTATATAATCTGCCACATGCACAATTTCCCACTTAGCATACCAATCTGAAATTAAAAACAACCTAGATAGCAAATTAGATACAGAATCTGGGTCACAATTATAAGACAAATGATACTTCCACATTTTCTTTGAATAAACTTCTTTTCTCCAGGATGTGAGAAGTTGAAAGTGTACCTGTAGGCATTATGTCACATATATACTTTTATAACATAACCTACAACATGCCCTCAATGAATATAGAAACTATAGATATCTCGAACTTATTTCTATGTTGGCAGCTGATTGTAGGCAAACATGGTAGACTGCAACCTTGTTTTTATAATGTCCAAAACTCTAGAAGGTCGTAATCTCTTTGAGAAATCAACATGGCACTCGTTCTCCTCTGGTTCAGGGGTCATTAAATGAAGAACAACTAGTCACACTACATCAGTACTATCCCTCGGGTAAGATGCCCTAGGAACCCTATTCATGACCTCTGCTGGACTGTTCCTGATGACATAACTCATATTTTGTATTTCAAGACGAATTCTAATCTGAGTTCCTGACAAATCCCAACTACAAATTCACAGCCCAGTCATGATGAAGTTTGTTCATGGAATAAAATTTAGGGAAAAATAGCATGCCTAAAGTAGGGCAATAAAACTGTACAATCCAACTACAGTAAGATGCAGGACAGAGTTGAAGGAGAGGCACTGCACAAAAAAAAAAAGGTTACACTTTAACTAGGAGTAGTAAAGCGGGGAACAGTGGCCACTCCCTGCCTGCTTCACTGAGCTAACGAATCCTTCATTTCAAGCACGATTTCCCATTTTAAAAAACATGAGGCAACAAATAAGATACAGGTAGATGGGTAGCACTCCATTCTCCAAAGTTTATTACAACTAGTCTTATCACTGTTCAGTGAAAAGCACTTGGCAGAGGGTCAAAGTTCATTCTGACAATGGAATTCTACTTCTCCCAATAACCATCTCTACAGAAGGCAGGCTACAAGCTACTCTGAAAAATATTTTCAATGTCTCAATTTACAGAAAATATTTGTCTTCTGAAATTTTACATTTGGCTTCAGCAGAAATGTTTCTGTTTAAATATATAATCTATCTTGTCCAGGAACAATACAGACATATTTTGCCAATAAGAACAAATGCCTGTTTTATAAAACTGATAAAGTATTTTACCTATAAAGATGGGCTTCTTAAATAGAGGCTATGGTAGTGTGAATGTAATTAGCCCCAATAATAGCATAGGGAGTGGCACTATTAGGTGTGGCTTTGTTGGAGTGGGTATGGATTATTTGGAGGAAGTGTGTCACTGTGGGGGTCAACTTTGTGGTTTCCAATACCCAGGATACTGCCTAGTATCTCAGCCAACTTCCTGTGGCCTGCATTTCAAGATGTAGACAGCATCACATCTGCCTGCACGCTGCCATGTTCTCCACCATGAAGATAATGAACTGAAACCCTAAACCTGTAATCGAGCCCCCTCAATTAAATGTTTTCCTTATGAGTTGTGGTTGTCATGGTGTTGTTTCACAGCAATAAAAGCACTAAGACAAGGCAAATCTGTAAATTGGTGTCCTGTTAAAACACTCCACATCTGCCACAAGACAACAGCAGATGCTCAAAAGTTTAACTGTGTCACTATCATCAACAGTACTAAAAATGTCAACAGTATTAAATGAGTCACTACCATTTGCACCTCATATTTTAAGTTAGCAACAGATATGCAAAACTTTTGTGTAAAACAAAGCTACACATACAGACAAACCCACAGAGCTAGCACCCAAAAAGAAAGGAAGGAAGGAAGGAAGACGGACGGATGGACGGACGGATGGACGGACGGACAAATTGTGATGGCCCAGTTCTTGAGGAGACAAAGACAGATGGATCTTTGTGAGTTTGAGGCCACCCTGGTCTAGATTACTATGCAGTAATCTTCGAAACAGTCAAAACTACATAGGAAGACCCTGTCAAAAGGCAAGGTTTACCAAATCTTTAATCCCAGCACTCTAGAGGCAGAGGGAAGGTCCATCTCTGAATTCAAGTCCAGCCTTGACTACACTGTAAATTTTTAGACAACTAAGATTATATGGTGAGACCTGTCTACAAAACAAAACTCAAACAAGAAGTTATTAAACAAATATATAATCAAAATTTTTTAAAATTAAAATTCAGCACTAAAAAAAACTATTTCATTTATTTATTTATTTATTTTGGTTTTTCAGGATAGGGTTTCTCTGTGTTGCCCTGTCTATCTGGAACTTACTCTGTAGACCAGGCTGGACTTGAACTCAAAGGTCTGCCTGCCTCTGCCTCCCAAGTGCTGGAATTAAAAGCACAAAATCAATTTTAAGAAACAGAAATTAATAAAAGCAAAGTGGAAAGGAGAAATCCTCATTCCTTCACCATGAGGACAGCATATTTTTCTCAGAATAAAACAGACATGGGGCTGGAGAGAGTGTAAAGGTTAAAAGCAATCATGGCTTTTTCAAAGGCCCAAATTTCAGTTCCCAACACCCATGTCAGGTGACTGGAAACCATCTAACTCCAGCTCCAGGAGATCAGATGCCCTCTTCCAGTCTCTGCAGGCATGCACATACACATGTATATATGTACACACACACAAATAATAAACATAAATGTTAAAAAATATATAAAAACAAAATGCCAGAGGCAATTAAGTTTTAAAAATTGGGGAAAAAAAAACTTTTAAAAACTAATAATAAACTTAACAGAACTCCTTTCTAGAATGTCAAGACAGAATCTGTTAGCTGACTTCTCTCTTACTCTTTTTACTTATTATTTAATTTTCAGACAGTGCCTTGCTAGGTAACCCAAGCTAAACTAGCAATCCTGCCTCCAATTCCCCTGTCGGCTAGGAATACAGGTTTGCCACCATCCTTAGCGACTTCTCCCTTTTTTGACACCCATGTACCTGACCATAAAAGTTAACATCACTTCTATAATTTGTCATATCTCATATATTAATTTCATATTTCTTCCAGTTTTATCAACTTACAGAACTTCTAGTCATAGTAAGCAGTGACAATCTTCAGCATTCCTGGATCTGAGCATCACTGCTTAATGACAGAGAGAAGCTACTCCGTTCCATCCACACTCCCACCTAGGGGCAGGAATTCACACATGAAAGTAACACAATGAGAAAAACACAGAATGGCACACAAATGTAATCCCAGCACACAGGAGGACTGAGGATTCAAGGCTAGCCTGCACTACATAATTAAGATTTTGTTTCAGAAACACCATACAAAGAACAACAACAAAAAATAATTTTTAAAAATAATATAGTCTACCTTTGAAATGTACGTAAGTTTAATGGCTCCAACCCGTGATGATCCTGAAGGCAGGTTCTAAAAGGAAGTATTAAAATACAATTATTACCCAACATTATCTTTTTATTTTATAATATAGTTCATATGTACTAAAAACATTTGAAAATTTAAAACAATAACATTTTATGCCAGGCAGTAGTGATGCATGCCTTTAGCTCCAGCACTCAGGAGGTAGAGGCAGGTGGATCTCAGTGAGTTACAGGACAGCTTGGACTATAAAGCGAGTTACAAGACAGCTAGGGCTAGAGAAACACTGTCTCAAAAAAAAAAAATTTTTAGAAATATACTTTTTTCAGTTTACATAGTTACTAGATCTAACATCAAGATAACAACATAGGACTGTGGGTGTGGCTCTGTGGTAGAACACTAGCCTAAAGCACCAGCTAGCATTCGTGAGGTCACAGGTTCTAACCCCTACAGGCAAAAAAGTGAACCGAAGTAAAAAGATGACAACTCAGATAAGGAGCTGAGTCTCACTCTGCTCCACCATAGTGTATCCTACAGCTAAAGAGCTGTCTTTCTCATTGTGGCTAAACTAATATTCTTTGTGAGCTTAAAAATTTATAAAACCAAATTTTGTCTATGAAAGCAATGGGAGAATATTTAGAAACACAAAGCAATACAGTTAAAGAAGTTTTAAAAAATTATTCATTTTACATTGATCCAGTAAAACTTCTTTATCAAATATATCTCTTTAAAAATAGTGGCCTTGCCAGGCAGTGGCAGCACACACCTTTAATCTCAGCACTCGGGAGACAGAGGCAGGCGGAGCTCTGTGAGTTAGAGGCCAGCCTGGTCTACAGTGTGAGTTCCAGGACAGCTAGGACTGTTACACAGAGAAACCTTGTCAAAAAAAAAAAAAAAAAAAATGGCCTTTTGACTCCAAGAAGGGAACAGCCATCCTGAGAGAAGCTTCCTCCTGCAGCAGATGGAAACAAATACAGAGACCCACAGCCAGACCCTATGCAGAGTAAGAGACACTGGAATACTCAGCAATAAACAGGGTGTTTCCATCAAATCCCTCCCCCCAGGGAGCAGGAAACCCAACAGAAGAGTAGGCAGAAAGGGTGTTAAGAGCCATTTAAATGGTTTAAGTTTTATGCTATAATCTACTTTGCTTTTTTCAAAAATATTAACTGATTTTCTTTTTAAATACTTAGTAAATTCTTTGGCTCATTTTGCCAAATACTAAACTTTTCAAGTCTCTTCAAATTCGTTTCCTAGTGTAGACACTCCATTAATTCTGTATCATTACCAACTTCCTCAGCAAAACGTAGCTATAAAATGAGTCCTTGTGATAGACTAGAGTAAATTTTTAAACTGATTAGTGGTGAAGAAAGCAGTGAAAAAAGGAAGTGGCTCCCCAAGGAGAGGTGAAATGAACTGCTTATTTTACCAAAGCTCTTTAGCACTTGGATATATGCAATGACATAGAACCATTGCTATTTTTCAGTAATTCAAACTGGCTCTAAATTGGCAATTTCATATGGCTTAATCTAATAGTTTCATCAAGATTTTAGGAAGATGTATATCTTAGTCTTTATTTTTAAAGGTGAAAAAACTTGGCACTAATGACTATTATACTGGCTGAGAGAAACAAGATTTTAAAAAGTTCGCTTAAGCTAGAAAAACTGTAAGGACTGGAAAGAAAAAGACTTTAATTACATACAATGTTCAGAAAACTCAATATACTAATAACAAAAGGGACAAATGTCTTTTAAAAATTTCATGTGAACTGGGCAAGGTGTTCCATACCTGTAATTCCAATGCACAGGAGAGGAAGAAGGATCAAGAGTTCAAGGCCAGCCTTAGCTCTATAGAATTTAAGGTTTAGCTTGGGCTTTATGTGGCCCTGTCCAAAAAAAAAAAAAAAAAAAAAAAAAAGACAAAAGGCTCAAAGTATAGTTCTCAGTGGGACAGCCTAAGCTTAGTATATCTGGGGACGATCACTAGCACCTGCCTTACACACTGCCCCTTACACACAAAAATTCTACGTGAAAAGACCTAGCTGAATGCAAAGCTTAGAAGACACCTCCCTGCCAAGATGGACTATTAATCCAAACATACTGCAGACACCTACAATGGTTCCTTTGCCCTTGTTTCTGTGAATCCAGGAATCATCACTCTACCTCTGGGCCAAAGTCAAAACCAATCTTCTAGGTCAATTTTAAATGTCACTATCTCCAGTATAATGTCATCTCCCTCTGCTTTTTATAACTATGCCTGTTTCTGATTCTAAATCTGTGTTTCATATGTGGTAAAAATTACTTCATTTGTATCTATCTTTGTTTTTATCTGTTAAGTGACAAGTTTTGATAAAGGGAGAACTGTAAGAAGAATCTGCACAAGAATTAAATAATAATACTAATAACAAAGGGCTTTATGGAGAATTCAGGAGAATCATTTGTAAGGTTCTCTGCAAAGAGAGGCAAATCAGGGAGAAACATTGACAACATATGCCCTGGCTCTGCAAGAACCAATAGCTGAGATCTTCCAAAGAGGATTCAGTGTTAACACAGTCCCACCTAAACACAGGAGACTATAAACGGCAAGAATCTGATTCATATGCTGAGGAAAAGAAATCAACATGAACTTTTGATTTCTGCTGCCCTGTTATTTCTCCCACTGACTGAGACCAAGTAAATGAAGATAATAACCATGCAGTTGCTCAGTGAGGTAACTGCCTCCAAGTAAAACAAAGTGTCAGTAAGCTCATGGACAGGACAGAGAATGCTACAGCTAGCTAAAAAGCCTCATCAGACAAAGTGAGTACATAGCTAATATAAACTGAATTAAAATATAACCCATCCCACCCACCCAAATTTCCAAGATTGCCTGTAAATAAAAGGCTAAACCTACATGGTAGAGACTCAGGGGGTAAAATCAAGACTGGTGAGAAGAGCCAAAGAATTGGGTTTTAGCTCTGAAAAAATAATAATTGACTATTTCAAATATGATACATACTTCTTAGCCATGTGTCATTTAAGCTATATCTAAACTGAAGAACAGGGAGATGCTTTCTTTCATTAAGGAGACTGAATTAATTCTAAGGTCATTTGTAACCACCAGTCTGCATAAAACAATTCTTAGACATTACCCTATCAGTATAGGTAATGAAGAACAAAGATTAGTTACAGGAGACCTGTTACTGGTTATGTGAAACATGGTGAACTGTCTAAAATTTCTACTCTATCCCAGGCTGCACAATCAACATACTGTATAGGAAGCTGGCCCTCACTTTCCAAACACTTCACTATGACACACATCTCCATTTTCAGCTTTTAGAATAATTTTGATTTGAAATAAACAGGCGGGAAGTTTTCAAGTATTCAGCAGACAATTTTTAATTCCAGCTCTCTCACTGATCTTAAATGTGGGATTTCTTAAAAATGTATATATTTATTGGGGCAGGAGGGTAGGAGGAAGGATGTGTCAAAGAACAGTTTGGGGAGTCTGCTCTCTCCTTTTACCACATGGATTCCAGGAATAGAGCTCAGGTCCTCAGACTTGGCCACAGTGCCTTTGCTCACTGAGCCATCTCTCAGCCCTTAAAAGTAGTATTCTATTTTTCTTTCTTTCTTTTGTATCTATTCCTAAAACTTGCAAGAGAACAACAAAACTAAAGTCAATTATCAGTCACAGATTCATCACAGTGACTGGCACTCAAGTGAACACCACATGACGAAAGAATTACCTGTGCCCAACAAACAGTTTCAGTAGTTTTTCCAAATAGTAACACTCACATCTTAGGTAGAGTATCTAAAATCTGTGATTAGTCAAAATGCTTCTACAAGAAGACTACTTCCCTCACAAGAGGGAGAAAATATATAAACACGTATAAATTTTAATTTCAATCAAATAAACTTAAGTTTACCCTCTGAAGTTCAAACAGGAGAACAGATACAGGTACCAACAGGGGAAGAAAGTTAAACCAATGGAAATTAATCTAAATATGTTCTGTTTAGGAAGACAAATTTATAATCTATATCAAATACTGTAATAAATGCAACTTCTTTATGCTATTATAAGGTAATCTTTGGTTTTTACAAACCTGTGGATTATCCATGTACCATACAAAGCTGTCTTCTCTGGTATCCAGGATGAAATACCGTCGAAGAAATTTCCCACTGTTTTCATTTTCTTCAATGTCCAGAAAACCACAAATGCGATTCTGTCGATCCACATAAGGCATTTCTGGGCTTGAACATTACACTGTAAAATGAAAACAGTGACAGTAAGTTCCTAGGACAAAGTAATTTCTAAGTAAACAAAGTCTATTTCACAAGCAGCACATTTTTCAATGTAGGTAAGACCAGTTAACAGGAGCTTACACCAACATCAGACACATTGGCAGAAAGCATTTTTGGACTTAAGTTCTCCACAAATGTGCACTAAATCCAATCTCAAGCTGGTGTGAACAAAGAGCCATTCTACTCAGTTAAATAACTCACTTGATCTTCCCCTAAAATAAAACCAAGTGCACTAAAAGTTAGCCATTTGAATCTTAATTTCTTCATAAATCAAGATGATCTACCTTTTAAGATTATTCCAGATATATTTTTTTGTTTTAAGACAAGGTCTCACTCAATATGTAGACCAGGCTGGCCTCTAGATAACAGAGATCCTTCTGCCTCCTGAATACTGGGATTAAAGGCATGTACCACCATACCTGACTGATTTATTTTAGTGTGCGTGTGCATGGGGATGTGTGCATACAAGCACAGTTGCCAAGTTCAGAAGACAGTACCAGATCTGTGGAGCTAGAGTTACAAGAGGATAAATGAGTTGCCTGGTACAGGTGCTAGGATTTGAACTTGAGTGCTTTTCAATAACAGTACACACTTAAACCTCTGAGCCATCTCTCCAATCCCTCAAAATATTTTTAAATTCACATAACAATAGCTAATATTTACTGGCCACTGCTATATGCTAGCCTCTGTGGCAGGTTCTCTTTTAAGTACAATCTTAATCTTCAAAGCAATCCTATGAACAGAAATCAGCATTTCCACTTCTCAGAAGTCAACACTGACAGGGGAAGTGAGCTTTCCAATTAAGATAGTAGGAAGTGGCTGGGCAGTGGTGGCACATGCCTTTAATCCCAGCACTCAGGAGGCAGAAGCAGGTGGATCCCTGTGAGTTCGAGGTCAGCCTGGTCTACAGAGAGAGTCCCAGGACAGCCTGAGGTATGCAGAGAGACCCTGTCTCAAAAACAAACCAAAGACAGTAGGAAAAAATAATGGATACTTAAACACATATTCCTAGGTACTAGACTCCTATCAAGCATTCTTTAAACCATTCAAAATAAAATGAATCAGAATAAACAGCTAAACAACAAAGAAAGATGAACCAGGTATTATGTACTTCCTGATGGAGAAGACATTCAAATCAACATAAGATTTTATCTAAATCTCATTGAGTTACTAGATTCTCCTATATTCAACTACCAATTTACAAGAAACATAGAAGACAGAGGAAGACACTGAACTGCTCCACAAGAATTCAATCAGCAAAAGCCAAACTGGGAAACAAAAGCACACGAAATTCAATTTCTTCAGAAAGTAAAGAGGAGCTATAGATTTAACCTGTTAGAAGAGTGAGAGATGGTCCAGCAGTTAACAACACTGACTGTTCCTCCAGAGGACCAGGGTTCAATTCCCAGAACCTACAGTTTCAGAGCATCTGATGCCCTCTGTTGTGCACTTCATGCCCACGGTACACATACACATATGCAGGCAAAACACCCACACAAATAAGATAAATCTTTACAAGTGTTACAGCCCTCAGTATATACAAGGACCTGGGTTCTAGCTCTACCAGTGCAAAAAATAAAAAGAATCCAAAAAACATGGAAGAACATATACAGTATACCTCTATCAGATAACTGATATCTAAGAACAGTTTATTATTACAATTCAATAAAACAAACAACAATAGAATGGGCAAAAATCTCAGATCAGCAAAGATGTACAAATGATGCTCATTATTATTCAGAAAGATATGACAGATTTCTGAAAACAACTCTGAGATGTTCTTAACCCCTCCAAGAACAGTCTACACAAAACTAACAAAGCACTTAATACCCACTGTCAGGAATGAGAGACAAGCGAACTTTCATACACACTGCTGGGTACAAAATAGTTCACCAACTCTGAAAAACAAATTAGCAACAGCTTCTAATAAAATTAAAAATACATACAATACAAACCAGAAATTAAACTTCTGGGAAGTTATCCAAAATCAAATGAAGGTCTGTTCTCTCAAAATCCTGTAAGCAACTGTTTACAGCAACATTACTAAGTGTCAGGAATCAGAAACAACCTAACTGTCCTGCTGCTGAGTAAGCAGAGTGCTCTAGCCAGTGCAAAGGACCTTTACTTGAAAAGGGGTGAACTACTGATGGATGCACAGAGCAATAGAAATCTCATCTGCACTGTGCTAAGTGAAAGAAGGCAAACTAAACATGCTGTGGAGACAGAACAGATCACCAGGGGAAGAAGACGCTAACTGCAAAGTGCTACATTTGGGGTGTAATGGAATGTTCTGTGTCTTACTTGTGGTAAAATACAAACTATGTGCTTATCAGTCTACAAGACAGAGAAATCAAGCTGGAACTGAGTTTCAGAGTCCTTTCCCAATGGCTTGAGAAGGCTGCTAAGGAGAAACACAATCAATGATTTCACCGACCTGCAGACATGTATGCTACAATACTCAGCACCAGGCAAGAGGTACTCTCTGGAGCAACAGTAGCCAACTATTTTAGGGATAAACCAACCACTTTGTGATTAGATTGGAGGCCTGCTCCACAAAAGGAATGCACATCTGGTATAACCTAATCAAAAATCTGTTAATGGGGCGGTCGGAGGTTCAAAGGGAGAACTTACTACGCCATTAAGTTGTTGCCCTAAATGGACATGTTGTCAAAGTACCATAAACTTACAGACTAGAGCCAAGAAGGCAATAGTTAGAGCAGAGGCTCATACCTGGCCAAAATGCTGAGAAACAGTGACTGTTGAGCTCAGTCCTACACAGGACACATACATCACCACCACTACCACATCTCAAGGCCCACTAATGGGGGTAGAATGAATTAAAGAACTGTAAGGAGGAGGGAAGTGTCACAAAATACAGCCATCCAGAATGACACTGCCATTGCAATTACGAACAGCAGCTATGGATACCTTCACAAGACTGGGCCCTTCAAGTTTCCATCATAGACAGAGAAAGTACCTATGGGGCTCCACTCTTTCCTGACAAGCTTTCCTACAGCCAGTGGGGGACTAGTTGGGGATAATAAGGACTTGAAATAGAAAAGAAGGTAGATCATAGAGGGTAATAGGGGTGAATAGAACCACAATATACTGTATATATGTATGAAACTGTAAAAATTAATGAACTTCATGCAAAGAAAAAAAGAGCAAAGCAGCCATCCCACCATGGTAAAGGTCACGGTACTTGGCCAGGGAAATGACCAACTACAAATACTTAAAAGATTTTTTTGAGGGTCGTGTTTTGATTGTGGTAATTACACAGTTGTATATTTATGCCAAAATTCACAGAACTATACACTAAACTGAGTAAAATTGATTGCATGTAAATAACATTTCAGTTATCCTGGGCTTAAACAAATAGTAGCACATATACTTAACAGAACAGCTAAACTGAAGCAGACTGGCAATACAATGTATCATCAAGGACATATTAAATGGTAAACCACTTCACACATAGTTCTAACTTGTGACCCACCTATCCCATTCCATATATCAGCTCAAGAGAAATGAAAACATAGAAAACATGTAAGCATAGAAAGATTGACAATACTCAGAGCAGCTTTATTTACAGGCTATACATTAGAGACAAAGATGCCCCTCAGCAAGTCAACAGAAAATAAATGCAGCACAACTAAATGATAGAACACTGGTTTATAGTACAAAGTAATTACTGACATGCAACAATTTGGATCAATTTCAAAATCATTATTATACTAAATAGAAAAAAGACAGGCACGAAAAGCTGCACAATAAACAACACAATTTTAGTTGCTTGGAACTGGGCAACTGGGGGAAGATAATCATTAAAAAAGCAAATTTAAAAGTTAATAGCTATCTTGAGCCTGGTGTGGTAGCATGTGTCTTTAACCCCAGCACTTGGGGAGGCAGAGGCCCGCACATCTATGAGTTCAAAACTAAGTTCATCTACAAAGTAAGCTCCAGGGACATGAGAGAGACACTGTCTCAAAAAACAAACAAAACAGAAACAATTTTAAGTAATCACTAATAACTACAAGTAATTTTTAAAGAATTTAGATGGCAAAAATTAATATGCATGATCAGAGTCAATAGAATATGTTTATTCCACAAAGGGCTATTTTCCACTACCAAGAAATAGCAAGGAAAATATCCCAAAAGTTAAAAAAAAAAAAAAAAGGGTCAGACATGAATAGATATTTCACAGAAAAAGATACAAGCAGACTTTGTGTGCTTCCTCACATAAAAGCACTATAGCCTGAGAGTGTAAAAACGGCAAACAGAAAAGAGAAATCTCTGTACTAAGTATCTGAATCTTAAAGTCTGTGAACTCTAGATCTCTGAAAACATGAGACCAACAAGGAATATCCACTGAGTGATCAGATGTAAACACCTCTAAGGACCATTAAAACCACCAGACGAAATATCAAAGAAAAAATAATCATATAACCTCAACTGTCACTCCACAGCTTTCTTACTAGTCACAAAGAAGGAAATGCAGCTTTTCAATGGAAAGATCTTTATAGCCTCACCTTTAAAATCTAATGAAGCCAGAAACTTGGTCTTAATGGATATGGCTTCTCTTTCAGTAGAACACATGATATAATTCTACTGGCATAAAATATCCAGAATAAACACATAAAACAAGTATATTAGCAGCTGTCTACTTACAGGAGGGTAGGCAGGAAATGAGGATGGGAAGGTATGTGGGTTTTTTTTTGGGGGGGGGAGGGTGTTACAATATTCAAAATTTTGGTGACTGCTTTACAACTGTAAATACACTAAAAATCAATGAACTGTATGTAACTTTAAGCAGATGAATTCTATTGAGCTGTATCTAAACAAAGCCTCTCTTAAAAATGAAATAATTATAATTGTCTTTCATCCTAGAGAGCATCAGAAATCCTCAGGGGCCTCTCCCAGGCCTGTGAACGATGGCCTGAGGCTTCATTTCTATTTAAACCTGGT